ATGCGAACGCCCCCCTTCCCACCTCAGATGCGCTTTCCCCCTTCTGCCCTCACTTTCAAATTCTTTCCATTCTGCGAATCCCAAGCCAAGCGAATGTCTTTTCCTCCCACTGAGCCTGAGGTATGCGATGCCTCCAACCACATCCTCGCCTTGCGCGGTAATTGTGTGGATGTCAGCAGAGGCAGTCCATGGGGGCGGGGAAGGGGGCTCTCTGTTCATCTACCAAGTGCAGTCTACTCACTGCTTGAGTGTGTTTCTCCTAACCTTAGACAGCTGAGGGCTACAAATTCCCTTGGCATTTTGGACAGAAATAATCAATACCATGAATTTGAACTTGGGAATTGCTTTTTAAAAAAAACTTTATTATTTCTAATTCCCCAAATGATATGTCTAGGCATGGTGGCACATGCTTGTCATCTTAGCACTTGGAAAGCTGAAGCAGGAAGATTGTGAGTTTGAGGCCAGCCAGAGAGCTACCTAGCCAGACCCTGATATAAGAATGCCTAGGAGAGCTGCTGCTGGGGGGGGGTGGAGGTGGTGGTGGTGGTGTGTGTATTTTACACAGTATCTTATTATATTGCCCAAGCAAGTCTCAAACATTCCTGCCTCAGCCTTCAGTAGACGTGTATTGCATGCATCTGGTTCTGTTTCTCTTTTGTGAATAGCTTTGAGAACATACTTTATTTTTTTCCTCTTTTATCCATAATTGACAACAGTTGTAGTTGTACCACATTGGAAGCATATTTTTTCCAAATGTTGTCTTAAAGTGTTGGTCAGCATTCCCTAGATTTGGCTTGAAGGGGCTGCCGTCTTGATGTCAGTTGCGTATCACTCCTGTGCCTGTTCTCGTTAGAGAAAATGCCCATGACGCTTGATGAGTCTGTCAGCTACGAGCTGCGGTGCAGTTACACACGGGTGTCTCATAAGGCATTTGGTATATTCAGGTTAAATCACATGAGTAGCATTACTATTCTGTCCAGAAAGAGGGGATACTTTTAAAGCTCTCACATTTACCAGTGGCTTATTCTGCATGAGTGTCATTTCCTCTTCATCTTATTCATCCCATTGCTACAAATAAGAAAATCTAAGTTTGAGGGAAAAGGCAAATAAAAAAAAAACATAAGCCTTAAGTGGTAAGAACAATTGTATTTGGTTGAATGTACCCACCTCCCATGCCAAAGCTCCTTAGCATTACTGTGTATGATGCTACCTTCCAAGGTGAGAATTAAATCGCTGAACATGAAACCCTTCTTTTCAGAGGAGGCTTTTGTTGGAAGGACAGAGCACTGCGCAGTGGGGAAGTGATGTCATCTCAGAAGGGTTTCTGCCGTCTGCCTTGTATCCTGAGGCTTCCAGAACGCTCATTCCAGTGTAACGCACTGTGCTGTTGCCCAGGCTGTCAAGGGCAATTCTGATGGATACATTCTGCAAACCAGTTCTTCTCTGGGGTTGTCAAGAGAACAGTTCTTTACTCTGTATTTTTTTCCCTATTCAAATAGGAGGTGTTGAGTTGTTTCTGACCTCACCTCTTCTGTACAAAGGTTGTAACTCCTTTGGTAATTACTAGGGCAAGAAAACCCAACCACCAGCTTAGCGGGTAGAGACTGAGTGATGTCAAGGGTACCCTTTGTATGTTCTACAGCTTCAAGGAATTCCAGAAGAGAATGTTAAGTGTAGGGGATTTATCCTCTGAATTTAAGTGTATCATACTTTCCCTGGTTGTTAGAAGGCTTTATAATTACAAGAGTCAATGCTATTATATTATACTTAAAATTTTCTGCACAGTGTTAAGTATGCCTAATGTTTAAAATATATTATCTCTGTAACTCTACCATAAAATCCTAGAAAGACAAATGTTATCCTTGGTTTTCATCTGAAGATACTAAAACTAGAGAGATGACTTAATTTAAGACACTTTCTGCAGTTCTGTACCTGTATATGGTGTATTGTGATCCTGTTCACCCCCATTTCCTTTACGTATCCCTGGGCTCCCACTGGTCCTCTGCTTCTCCCCAACCAGTTCCTCTCCTGTTTTATGTCTTATTTCTTGATCCATCAATTTGTTTGGTCAATTGTGTCAGGAAGGGGCGTGTGCGTGCCATGGCCTGCTTGTGGTGGGCAGAGGACAACTTTGGGGAGTTCTTTCTCTCCTTCCCCCATGTAGGTCCTGGGGTGGCACTCAGATTGTCAGGCTTGGTGGCACTGCATCATCTCAACAGTGTCATGTCCTGTCTTTTCTGTGTAGGTCTCGTGCAGGCACCCACAGCTGCTGCATGTTCATGATTGCAGTAGCCATTTCATGCCCAGAGGACAGCATTTGATGGCACTGTAGTCTGTCCTCTGGCTCTTACATCCTTCCTCCTCTCCTACAGCATTCCCTAGAGTTTGGAGGGTGCAATGCATCTGTCCAGTTTAAGGCTGAGAGCTACGCTGGTAGTCACTTAAGCTCAGCACTTTGACAAGCCTTTGTACTGACCGCTGCCCACTGTAAAACAACGCTTCTCTGACCCAGACTGAGACCAGTACTGGTCTGTGGTATTTGTCTCCTTGGCCATTTAGCAACACATCAGTAATGCATTCCCTCCAGAGCCATAGGCTTTTGCCCAAGTTTATAATGCCAGATAAGAATTAATCCTATTGGAAAGTGATTGATTAAACCCCACCCTCTCCCCACTTCCAAACAGCCTTTCCCTTTTGTACAAGTGGACATATCTTGCCTGGTGGGTTGGTATTGTACTATAACTTGATAGGACAGTTGATAACATTTCTCTCCAGTGGCCTGCATAGCCCCCTCCAGGACTGTGACTGCAGCCAGCAGGGAGGAAGCTTCCAGCTCAGTTTGAGCTTGATTTCTGTTTCCTGCATCCAAGCTGTACGGTTATCTTCAACAATTGGGTCTTACCATCTAATTCTAGTGGTGAACCAAGGACAGTGTTTTGGGTGCTCCTCGGATCTCCCTAACCATTACTTCTAGGGAGGGACCCTGTACCTAGCAGTGGAGTTTCATTAAAAAACCTATGGTTTCTTGGGGCTGGATAGTTAAGTGCAATTACTGCTCTTGTGGAGGTCCTGGGTTTGATTCTTAGCACCGACACAGCAGTTCACAAACGTCTGTAACTCTAGTTCTAGGGCATCTGATGCTTGTTCTGGCCTCCACGGTACCAGGCAAACGCATGTGCATAGACATACATGCAGGCAAAACACCCACTCATGTCGGCGGTGGTGGCGCACACCTTTAATCCCAGCACTCGGGAGGCAGAGGCAGGCAGATTTCTGAGTTCGAGGCCGGGCTGGTCCAACAGCCTCCAAAACAATACAGAGAAACCCTGTTTCATAAAACCAAAAAAAAAAAAAAAAAAAAAAAAAGCCAAAAAAAAAAAAAAAACAACCAAAAACCCCACTCATGCACATAAAGTAAAAATTAAAGACAAAGTGAAACAAAAACCCTATAGCTTCTGGGGCAGCATTACCCACCCATATAGGGTACCTCCACTCAAACTATTATTATATTTTTTTAGTTTGTAAAGTAGTAGGTTCCATTTTGGTTGGTGGTCCTCCTCACCCCCACATTCCCTCTCTCCCTGAAAACTTATCACCATTTAAACCTTTCTATCTATAGTAATCCTTTCTCTCTCTCTCTCTCTTTTTTTTTTTTTTTGTTTTGTTTTGTTTTCAAGACAGGGTTTCTCTGTATTGTTTTGGAGGCTGTCCTGGAACTCGCTCTGTAGACCAGGCTGGCCTCGAACTCAGAGAATTGCCTGCCTCTGCCTCCCGAGTGCTGGCATTAAAGGTGTGTGCCACCAACGCCTGCAGTAATCCTTTCTTTTACTTCTGAGTTACATGTGTTTTACTGTCACCCACTAAAAACTTCCCTCCACTATATCACTCTTTTCTTTTTAAGATTTATTTATTTATTATATATACAGTGCTCTGTCTGCATACATGCCTGCAGGCCAGACAAGAGCATCAGACCTCATTATAGATGGTTGTGAGCCATCATGTGGGTGCTGGGATCTGAACCCGGGTCTTCCTAAAGAGCAGCCAACACTCCCAACCTCTGAGCCATCTCTCCAGTCCCCCACTACAGCACTCTTATGGTCCCTTTCTTGCCTCCTGGCTGCTATAGATACTCACTCCAGCTTAAACACAGAAATCTAAAAATTCCAAGGGAGGGCCTTCCCATGAGAGGAAACAGAGTTTCTTTTTTCAGGGCCTGGGTTATCACATTCCATTTAATGATTTTTGTACCTAAGATGCCACCAATTTAGAACATTTTGTATCTGTTTGTCTTGGAGCTAGGCAAGCTCTCTACTGCCGAACTGTATCCCAGCCCCAGATATAACTTGTTCAAAGTAACAAACTTGCAATGCCATCAAAGCCTGCTTTGCTCTTTCTCTTATCCTATGTGGTGTCCTTAGCTCTCTCCAGATTAACAGTAGTCAGTGCTCCAGAGTACAGGGAGAGAAGGTAGGGAGAAACAGAGAGAGGAGGGAGGGAGGGAGGGAGGGAGGGAGGGAGGGAGGGAGGGAGGGAGGGAGGGAGGGAGGGAGGGAGGGAGGATGGACGGACGGATAGTGGACGAACGAATGGACAAAAAGCCATGTAGATGTAGGCAGAGCCTAGTTTGGGCTTGACTAGTGAGATGTTGATCACATCCCTCCTAGGATGTTATTCCAAAACAGGGAAGATTTCACTCTGAATGTGACTTTGGAACAGCCTAAGTTCAGAAAAAGGCGAACTGATATTTGCACAGTAGGGTCAGTGATAAAATGATAGAACTGAAAAGGCACCTAAGAGATCATCTGTTCTGACCTCCTTTTACAGGAAACTGCACCCCAAAGATACTGACTCTTTTGACCGAGGTAACACAAGCTTTGGAAAGCTGCAGAGGCGTGTGGCCTGCAGCATTGGGCTCTCTGGCTTGGCTCATTCTGCTGCCCATCCCCGAGTGCTGGGAATCCTGTCCTATGCTGAATAGTCTCCCTTTCTCTATCCCATAGGTTTTCCAGAGCCTGTAGACAAGATGGAATCCACTCCATTTAACAGACGACAGTGGACTTCCCTGTCATTAAGAGTAACAGCCAAAGAACTTTCTCTTGTCAACAAGAATAAGTCATCGACAATTGTGGAAATATTCTCCAAGTAAGTGCTGATCTTGGTCCAAAAGTACCATCTGTCTTCATAATTGGTGAAGCAATGTAAAATGGCTGCATTGAGTACCCCTGCATGTTAGGTACTGTAGAGAAAAAGAACGTTATCAATCAGAGGGTCCTTCCTCTGTCTTTGGATTTTTATTTAATCAAGGACAAGAAAATGGTGCAAAAAGATACTTATAAAATACCGAAGTATAAAGCAAACTGTTACCAAATCCAAAGGAATGTACGGAGGATCAGATGAGGGACGAGAGGGGAGTCTGTCATGGGCAGGGACCGTCAAGGAATGCGCTTTGTTTTGTTTGTTGATTCATTGGTTTGCTTGTTTCTATTGAGATGGGATCTCCTGCAGCCCAGGCTGGCCTTGCACATGCTTTTTAGCTGAGAAGGACTGTGCACTCTTAAACCCTCAGCCCCTGCCTCTCAAATGCTGCCATTAGGTGTGTGCCACCAAACCCAGCTCTGTTTTATTAGGTTTTTTTCCCTCCCCATTCTGTAGCCTGGATCTCACTAACATATCCCAGACTGGGTTTACACTCATGAACAAAACGCTTGCCTTCACCTCCTGAACGCTGGGTTTCGAGTTGTAATTAGGCCACCATGCCCTCTGGTGGGGGGGAAATGGTATCTTTTAGTTTTTCAATACTAAGGGTCAAACCCGGAGCCCTACACATGCTAGGTATGTGCTCCATCCCTGAGCTACATTCCCCACCTTCAAGAGTTTAAATAACATTGGAAATTCAGCTCATCATTATGCTTGTAGCATTTCAAGTGTGCGACAGGCAGTGGGGTTGAGCAGAGGAGGGTTTATTGAAACGCAGGCTGTCTTTGCTTTCACACTGAGCCAGCAGAGACCCTGGGTATAACAGACTGTTTCTCAAAAGTCTAAAACGTCTGGCCCCTTAAGAAAATGAGAAAATGTTTGCCAGCCAGGCTGTCCATAGTAGGTGCTGTTGCACGCAGTAAGTACTGCTGTACACAGTAGGTGCTGCACACAGGCTGAAGGGGTGGTCCATACACGTTAGCAAGCAGATGCGTTGATGATGGAGCTGAGTCAAGGACGGGGGACAGGCAGACTGGCCACACTAGTTCCTTATGACCAGGGAGCTACTGCACTTATGAGAAGAAAGGGTAAAGACATGGGGACAGTGACTCTAGGAGCTGTGTCTAGAATATAGTCAAACACCAACAGGAAGTCTCTGTGACGCACAGTGTCACCTTTGATGACAAATCCCAGCCAGGCAGTGGTGGCACATGCCTTTGATCCCAGCACTGGGGAGGCAGAGGCAGGCAGATCTCTGTGAGTTCAGTGAGTTAGAGGCCAGCCTGGTCTACAAAGGGAGTTCCAGGACAGGCTCTAAAGCTACAGAGAGGCCCTGTGAAAAGAAAAGAAGAGAAAAGAAAAGAGAAAGAGAAAAAGAAAGGTAATGCAGGCTGTCACCTGGGATCTCAGCTGCAGTCATGGTTGGAACACCTACGCATGGCCAGTTCATGTGACTCTTCAGCTTGGATGCTGGGTTCCCACAGCAAGCATCCAGAAAGGAGGGGAGCTACAAGGTACTGCTTTGCCTGCTCGTGACCTTAGCACGATCGAGTTTGCCATATTCTTAGATGTGAGTCATGAAGGCTGGCTCATACTCCACAGGAAGAAGGTGTGCAGTTTGGCTCATCTTCTGGTGGGAGGAATGTCAAAGATATTTTGAACCTTTTTTGTTTATTTGTTTGTTTTTTCTGAGACAGGGGTTCTCTGTATTGTTTTGGAGGCTGTCGGTCCAGCCTGGCCTCGAACTCACAGAGATCCGCCTGCCTCTGCCTCCCGAGTGTTGGGATTAAAGGTGTTTGCTGCCGCCATCACCACTGCCACTACTACCACCACCACCACTACCACCACCACCATCCAGCTTGAACCTGTCTTAAACTATCTTCTGTAGGGCCCCCTGGTCTTTCTAAAGAATCTACTTTTGTGTATCTGCAATGGGGCCCAACTACCTCAGGCCCCCTTTGTTGAGACAGTCTCTTCCAGCTCAGCCTGGCCTTGAACTTGTTACATAGCTGAGGATAAACCTTGAACTCCTGTCTCCACTTCCTGACCCAACTGCTCCTCCCTGTTTTTAGGAAGAGGCTAAGCAATCACTGATAGTAGAGGAGGTGGACTTGGGAAATGAGACTTGAATATGGAGCAGAGTGAGTGAGGGGAGGTGTGTGGAGCCTGGATGTGACAGAGGGAATAGGGAGGCAAGCAATCCTTCATGGCAAAAACCAGAACAGGAAGGGGCCGGTGTAATTTGGTTAGGCCAGGTGGTAGGCTCCAGTGCTGCTGCAGTTAGGGCATAGTTAGATTAACAGCAAAATGCAGTGGAAAGTTTCCATGCAAGGAGACTGACACGATGAGACTTGTGCATCCCAAAGATGCTTCTGGCAGCAGCGTGGAAGGTTTATTAGAAAGGTCAGAGATGGGTAACACGGAGGCAACGCATAGGGCTTTCGTGGGGACCCAAGTGAAAGCTGTAGGGGTGGGGGGAGCAGGAATGGGAAGAAAGAAGGGATACGAGGCAGCTCGGAGCTGTGATTAATGGGCCTTAGGAACCCCCTAACCTGCAAGACACCGCCCCTCGTTCTTACCCTTCTACCCACCTCGGCCCCACCTGAGGGACACTCGGCTTTCTCACGACTTGCAGTTCTGTGCCGCCTGCTTTCTGCGTCCCTGAAATACCCTGGAACCAGGAGTTGCAGTTGCTGCTCTCCCGTCCTTTCTCGTGTGTGGTTCCCAAGTCCTAAGCCTGAGCTTCGAGGCCGGCACCTCTTCCTGAGTTGCAGGCAGCCTCCCCTCGCTCTCCTGCAGTAGCGTGCCGAGCTCTCCTGGCCTTGAGCAGAGTCCCTAGCTTCCGTTGTCACTTCCTTTTTGCTGTTCCTCACCGAGAGAATGCCAGCTCCAACGATTCCTCTAGCAGTGAGCCCGTGGTCCACATCATTGACGCGATGCTTTACTTCCTGATGTCTTTATCTTCTCTGCGTCCCAAGCCCGTCTCCATGCCCCTGCCTCCATCTCCTAGCAATGGTTACCCAAAACCCTTCTCAGCAAGGACGTGCCCTCCAGTTAGAGCCTCTCCTGCCGCTTTCTGAGGCTGAGTCCCTCTGTCCTTTCTGACTGTGGTCTGACTGTGAGATGCCCTCTTCCTGCACGCTGTGCTTGGGGCCTGCCAGGTGGCTCCCCCTGTACAGGGCAGTGGGGTCTCACTGGCACTCCGCTTATTTCTAGCTGGGAATCTCTCCAAGCTCTTGTCTCCTTGGTACCCTCCTCACCCCATCCCTTTCCTATCTAGGCAGTTCTCATGAGGATTTGACACACATTAGAAAACCCGAAAAGTCCATTCTTGTCCTGGTAGCTTTTTTCTAATTGTTATTTTGTGTGAATGAGTGTTTCACCAGAATTTTTGTGTTGCATGCATGCCTTGTGTCCTTGGAGGCTTCTAATCCCCTGGACCTGGAGTTATGGATGGTTGTGAGCCACCATGGAAATGCTAAGAACCAAACCAGGGTCTTCTGCAGGGACAGGAAGTTCTTAGCCCATGCTCCCCCCTTTTTTTGGGGGGGGGACACAGTTTTCCTGTGTGGCCCCGCAGCTGCCCTAGAAATTGGTTGTGTAGGCCAGGCTCAGAGAGATCCATCTGCCTCTGCCTCCCTAGTGTTGGGATTGATGGTCTTCTCAGTTCTGCAGAAAGGCCCTTAAAGGTCACTTGACCTTCTCCATAGACTAGTAGGTTAACTATATTTTCTGTATGAAGGTTGTAAGAACAAATTGCACAGATAAAAAGTTGTAAATCCCCAACCCATTTAATCACAACCAACTTACCAGGCTTTTGCTGTATGTGTGTAGGGGGAAAGGGGTACTCTGGGGATTGGATATGTCGGATGCTTGCTAACTAAGCATGCACTCTTGGTAGAAATACACAGTATTTCTAACCCTCACAAAAGCTGCGTGGGAGGGGCATTATCCCTGTTCTGTAGTTGAGAAAACCTGCTTGAGTTAATATTTGAGTTTGTCAGCTTAGTGTTTTCCCCTGGGGCGTTTATCTTAACATGTTGGACTGGTTTTGAAAGGTGAGTGGAGCTTTATTTGGTGGGCTAGGTGTTAGGATTCAAGCATTATTGTGCCCTGCCCCCTGTCACCTGGCAGGATGCACTCAGGTAGAACCTGGTCAGCCCAGGGTTCCATTGATGCTATGTCACTATGTCATTGTCACTGTCGTCACTACATAGTCTGCACATAGGTGCAAAGGACCCTTTAAAATACCCCCCCCCCATTTCTGCTCTCTTTCCAGCTGTTTCCCTGGGGCAGAGAGGGCTTTTCCTGTCTCTCCCTTCTCTTCTGTCCTCTCTGTCTCTCCTCTTTTCTCTGTCTTTGTCCCCTCCCTTCCCTTTCTAACCAAACTTCTCACTTAAGCTCTGTCTGCCTGCATGTTTGTCCCTTGCTCTCCATGGAATCCGCCAAGGTCCCCACTCGATTTTTTTTCCTAACCCTAGGAATATGGTAGGAACATTCGAGGGGAGCAGAAAATAACGGCACAGAAATGAGGCAGCCAGGGCGGGAGAGGTGTCTCGGGAGTTAAGAATGCAGGTTTCTTTACCAGAAGATTGGAGTTTGGTTCCCAAAATCCATATCAGGTGACACACAACCACCCTTAATGCTAGCTTCAGAGTATACAGTGTCCTCTCCTAGCCTCTCCCGGGCACGTGCGGGGTGCACACACAAATATTGTTAATATTAATAATAAAATACAGGCAACACTGTCTGTCTAAGGCAGTAAAAATAAAGGGCTCAGCCTGGATTTCTTTTCTAGGTTTCATATTAAATGGAAGCATGCTGCTAATATTGTTAAGTACTTTAAAGTTCACTCACTATATTCACAAAGATGGCTGCAGTGATAAGTTTGTCTATGTAAAGATTTACTTTAAAATAAATAAATCAAATTAGAGCATAGCATGGTG